AAGTAGGTCTTTTCGCTCCCGTCGTCGCATGCTTCAAAGCCACTTTGAAGCCACTTTGAAATCACTTTGAAGCCACTCGATGGAGCAGCGGCGCCGAGCCACTCGACCAGAACGACGACCGTGTCGTCTTCGTGTCGCCCTCGAGCCGATAAGCCTCGTCCGTCAGCTTTGGCCGCGGCGGAACACCACAGAGATTAGTGTGCTTACAGGAAAATCATGTTGATGCATTTAGGCTTTACGTACCGTGCAAATACGCACACTCAAACATGCATTTCATCAGACGTGATCGATAAGGAACTCATTTATTTATCCCGATGTTGTCGCCCGTCGGATCGGATGCCCATATGCAAACGACCTCATCATTCGTGTCAGATTTCGGAATCGCTTCGTGCATCAACGAATCGACACAATCTTCAACGATTTGGATGCGGACTTGCGAGTGAGGTTCTTCGTCGCCCGGCCGCGCTGAATCGAGAGTGACTCCGTTCCGACGAGGACATTGCAAACGGTACGTTTTACCCGTACCGTACTTTCAACAGGAACGTCTCGGAACGTCTTCGTGCGACGAGAAGAAACGCGGTTTCTGCTTGCTGCCGAGGACCGATAAAAAGTTTCCTCCCCGCAGCGTCTCTTTCCCAGTCCAGTCACTTTTTCGATGCAGGCTCGATGCGTGTAATGTACAGTCATCCCTTTCGGGAAGCCTCGGAAGGAGGGCCCTCCTAGATGGGACGATCGGTTTCTCTCTCTCTTCATTGGTGGAGAGACAAATCGTATGATGAGATATGGCGCGAGCGACACATCCTTGCATGTCGCAAGGACTCCGCACAGTCTGCTCTCTTCGGTCCGAGGATGTCTTGTAATTGTGGAAAGCCAGGATTCGCAAAGTGTTCGCAACGTTCCATTTCTGCCGTGACGCGGGGATTTTCGGCTGAGACACCTGGTCCTCCCTGACGTGAGTTCTCGATTCGGCTTCCGATATCAGGGGTGAAGACGTACCATCACTCTTTCAACACTTTCATGATTTCAGCAGAGATCTTATGAGAAGCTGTTCGCCAAAAATGATCGGATCTTCGATGCATCATCTTGCCATCGCTCTATGCCTCCTCGTGAGTTTCTTTCCTTTCTTTTTTTCTCATGTCGATGGTTGTTGCAGTGGGAGTGAAAATGGAAGACCAGATATCAACAGTTAGTTGTCTTATCAATACACGGCGTGATTCGTTTATGTTGGGGCATATTTTCCTCTGTCTTGCTGTGACCCATTTCGCAAATACAAGGGGCGTAAGAAAAGTCTCTACTCGTTAACCTGGTACGCGACAATCGTCTTATTGTAAAACAAAAATTTCATTTCGTGTGTTAACATATCTAAGTTATTCAAGATGGCTGAATTGTCAGTCGACTTTGCAGGAGCGCTTGCACCGATAAGTCCCGTCTGCGCCTCTCGAAGGCTACAGAGAGCCTCTCTGCCAGCATTCGTAGAGTGGACAGGTCGGGCGTGGATGACTCAGGGTTATCCAGTCCAATCCAACCGGATCCCATAGGCTGCGTCCAACTCAGAAGGTCGTGCAAGGGTCTAGCCCAAGGGCCAAGTGTGTCTTATGCGTGGGGCACGTTATTGACAAAAAGAGCCAAGTTTGTTTGTTTGCAGTGGCAGCATGGCACCTACGTGGGGCGTGATTGGGCCACTCAGCTTTGTCCGCTTTTTCTGCGGCAACCTGCTACAATGGTGGAGACATTTCTATCTACAGTGCTAGTACTGCTGGAACTGGCATAACCCCCTGCCCAAGCATGAGTCTGAACAACGGATAGGCAGGAGGCTTAGGATAATACAGGAATTGATATGGGAAGGTCCATTCCTTTATGGTCTATGGCGTATACACAAATTCAATCCCCAATTTCCTCATGATGAATTGAATACGCAGAGACCATCAGTGATGTAAAACTCCTTGCGTATAACGTTACCCTGTATAAGTATACGGTTCTTATCGGAAATATGAGTTAGTACATGGCCTGACCATGCATCTATCTGGAATAAGAGGATAAAAAATAATGAAATGTCCGCGTTTATCGATTCTTATAATGAGACTAGGCGAGACATATGGTGAGGTTCTAAACACTCCTGCGAGAGAAGATTCCAAGGAAAGAGGGAAGAATACTTTTGTGTACTGTGCGAAAAGCAAGACCCACACCTCCATCTAGTGGCATGAAGGAGAACTTCAACATTTCCCAATAACTTACAATTGCATTTTTGGCTCATTGGATCATCACGGTCATTTTTGCAGTATGCTTATCTTAGGCAAAATGATGCGTACGATACTCATCGGGGCTTCAAAGCATTTGGAAAAGTTTTCACCAACATTCAGTCGGATTGCACTTAGGCGTCCAAGTCCGCCAAGTGTGGACTAAGTGTGCAAAACCTTCCTGAGCCACAGATAGTATAACCGCTGAAGAGTCACAGAAACGCCACAGCTACCACAGATACGACGATCTATGGCCACACGTACACTGCTGACTGGGATTGCTCGAAGCTGCATTCGCCGTTCCGAAGGAGATCTTTACAGCCAAGAGGTATTTGGCTTTTTGCTTCGGTAGCTGGGGTCAGTGGATCCAGGGGGAGGATGCACGAACGCCAAGGAATTCTGCAACATGTTCAACAGGAAATCCGGTGGATCATCTTGCCTAGCGTCGCATCGGCAATGCGGATCGTGCCTGGACGGGTAGGGGCCTTCGTGATTAAGTCACGCATGCGATCTCATTTGACAGGCGTACCACAACTCACGATCTCGATTCATTTTTTCAAAAAAGATACACATCGGAGGAGTGGTCTGGAGGGAGGGAGGCGGACGTGTGTCGGCCGACCGGATCGTCCGAGTCCGACCGGGATCCCGACCGTCTCAACGACCTTGCCTCGGGAGAGACATCGCAAAGCCAAGGAGAAGGGAAGATCGAGAGCATCGTCGTCCCGATCGTCGTCGTCGTCTGCTGCGTTCTCATCTCCATCGGAGTCTGGCTAGGTCGGTGCAAGACGTCCTGTTTATTTAGAGTCTGCCGTTCCGTTGCGACCAAAGCAGCGGATTACCATGGTCGTCATTTCTTCGTGCTGTCGTCGCCGTAGCGAAGAAGTATAGTCATTACGATGAATATCAGCAATCATCACGTCTATATTAATTCTTTTATATGAACTCATTCATTTCTTTTTGTTTTGCATAAATAATTTGCTCCTTCACTTTCAGTTCCTTACTTTGGATTCTCGTTTCCTTTCCCTTTTTTTAAGGCTTCTCTAACAAACGGCACGGCTATCCAAGGTTTTTGGAGTTAAATTAGTTGCGAACAACGTGATTTTTAGGGTACAAGAAAAGGAGAAAGAAGCCAGAGGGGACAGACGCGGAAAGACAAGGAGAATCGGAGGGAGACGCGAACATCCTCGATTCCCGGTGGTCCGCCTCTTCGTTCCAATTCGATGAAACGCCCCTGCCTGCCCCCGCCCACAACAGATCACAACAGCTCGATGAAGGTGGGCCTCAAATGGAATTTATCCTTCAATGAGTTATTTATTGCATGCGATTTTTCCACGTGCGCATATGGCTGCAAATGAGCTTGCAACAAATTCCGATTTGACATCTTGATAAAAAATTGTGATGTACTATGACACGTAGCAAGTCGTTTATTTCTGGATCTTTTTAAATCCTCTTTTTTCTTTGGATTTAATAGGATTGTTTATGTTGATATTAAATTGCACTCATTCGCTTCCATGCATACGAAACTTGAACCGCTATTAATCTGACTTTATTTAATCAGCTTGCGTGAATGACCTTATCAATTTCACTGAAAGTTTTGCAAAAGATCAAAAGTGGGAAAGTTGCATGCTTTCTGAAACTCATCCGCCTGTGCACGCCGTGAACAGACTAAAGAGAAATTTGTTTAATCTTCATTCCAGGAATGGAGGCTCTTGAGAACCGAGAAGGAAGTGAAATTGCTCAGGAGGAGACGCCGTCCGTATTACATGTATTCATTTTCCAAGAGGCCGAGAGACTTCTCAAGGCACAACCAGAGGATTGGGAAGAGTACCAAAACAATCCTCGTTCGGCATACAAGTAAGCAACACTGTCAATATGGGTTTCCTCGTTCGGAACACAGTGGTATTCGATCGGAACGAATATATGAAAGAAATCTGACCATCTTCTGTCATTTCCAGTTACGTGTTACGGGTCGGATACGGAAATGACTCGATTACACCTCTAGCCCTCTCTACTGACTTGTCATCCATGGCTACGACGAGGCTTGCCAGTCCGACACTCTTTCCTCCATCCTCCAACCGGTCATCGCCAGCTCCCTCGCCCTCGACTCCGACGTCCTCTCCTCCACCACCAAGATCAGCCGGAAGGGAACGGGAATCTGGGAGGCAGTGGAGATCGACCACGTCCGAGAGGCACTTCCAAGAGACGCGAACCTGGTTCTTCTTTGGGGGTCAATCCATCAGGTCTCATTTTTCTCAGTTTCGTCACCAAGAGACCGGCCAGCACTCGTGATAGTTAACGAGCGCGAAATTCGTCTTGATATTTCTCAATGATTTTCTGACATTTCTTTTATCCCTTTCGACGACACACTAACGTTGTCGATCTCGATCTTTCTTTATTTGATGCTTGTTTTCATCTCTAAATGCATGTATCCATTTGTTTGATTAGTGATAAAGCTATTTGCAGACTTTCACCATCGTCTCCTCTGAAATTGAGAGGGATAGGGAAATTGGGCGCGAGGACGTACATTGATGACAGGTGAAGAACCAAACCGGTCTCTCTCACACTGGCGGCTTGTCCCAGCAAATGAAAGTGATTATATGTTTGTAGCCCTTGAATTTGAATCTATTCCGGAGTCCGGGATTTTGCCATGGTTTGGACAAATGAATGCTGGAGGAAGTTAATGAATTCCATGGAATTGAGGATATTTCCTATTTCATAAAAATCCCGAATGATACAAAAAGGCAAGCGTAGATATCACGACTGAGAAGTCGATAATGATACCCTTTTGTCAATTTGAAACACAAACCCCGTTCGGCCGTCAGAACGTTTCATTCTGGAACGGAATATGAAAAGGAAAGAGAGAAGAAATCGAACGCATCGACCAATGTGAGCCATCATAGTACCAAGAGCAGTGGCGTAGCTACCGAATGTGCAGGCGGTGCGACTGCACCGGGGCCCACAGGCCAGAGGAGCCCAGACGCCGAGCTATGAAGAAGGGGGAGAGGCATGGGAGGGGAGGAGGAGGCTTTGCTGGGAGCCCCTTGGTATCGAGACGAAGTGAGAGTCAGCAGCCGAAAAGGAAGGTCGAAAGGAATCAAAGGATTTCAACCCGACACTGCACAGAGACATCTCGCAACTGGGACGCCGCTTCGTGTGGTTCAATGAAGTGGTGGCCACTTCCTATACCATTCACCCAGGGCCGGATTAAGGGATGGGGCGGGGGCTGTTGCCCCGAGCCCCACTTTCCCAGGGGGCCCTCGAAGGAAATTGAACACGTTAAGTATTTGCTTTAAGTAGTAGGGGGGGGGGGGGGGGGGACTGTCTGACGCAGTCTATTTTTTTAATATAGAAAGCACAAAAGTTAATGTTTATTAGCTCCTGTGAAATAGATATTCAGGATTTTTACCCCAGACAAAATGAATAAGGCGATAGGACGGAGGGTGATGGTAAATGGGGAGGGGGGGGGCCTATGAAAAAATTTCTGTATCCGCCACTGCCTTCGACTGACGTCAGCTACCGATGACGATTCATATGCTGCGGGAGAAAATGTATCAAAAATATATAACTCCCACATAATTCAATAATAAAAAATTGGACAGTGGGGCCCCGTTTCATTTCTTGCGCCATGGTCCCATGCCAACCATGCTACGCCACTGACCAAGAGAAAGGAAACTCACGAATGCGTCATGCTGTATCACTAGCTGCCAGGAGTGTGTTGATTGCGCGTGTCCGTGGCGCCATCTCTGATGCGTCGCTAGAACCTCCGCTTTTTTGTGAGTTTTGTGATTTTTTTAAATAGCATATCCTAGTAACTTATTGCCTAGTCCAGTAAGTCAACATTGTCCCCCTTCTTGCTTGCCAATAAAAGCATCTAGTTTCTTCTTTAAAATTCTTCTTTAGAAGGGGCAGCCACTACGACGTCGTCTGACGGATTCCACTCGCTTACCACTCTAAAAGTAAAAAAGTCCTGTCTTAACCTGAGCCGTTCCTTCGGTACCAATTCGCAAATTGAGTTGATCACCTCTCGTTCTCTTGCTGCCATCGAACTGGAAGAACCTACCACACTCGACATGATCTATTCCTTTAGTTATCTTGAGAGCCTGGATGAGATCACCTCTCCTTAACCTTCTCTCTCTCGTACAGTCCCAGCACTTCTAAACGCTTCTCGTACGGAAGTCCTCTAACCTCCTTTATCATTCTTGTGGCACTCATGTGAACCCCCTCGAGTGCCAACAATTCACCCTTACTTGTAGGCCTCTAAAACTGGATGCAATCTTCCAACTGGGGTCTTACCAGTGCCGCATGCAACGGAAGAATAACGCGTGAGTTCCTACTTGCAACCGAGCGACGAATGAAACCTAGCATCCTGTTACATTTGGCCAATGTCGCTTGAGAGGGCGAGGAAAACTTGAGGTCTTCGTCGACAGAAACTCCTAGATCTTTCTCTCCGTTTGCCTCCCTCAATTTATCCTTGCCGAACGCGTCGAGAGAGCTACGTTATTTCGACCGACGTGAAGAACTATACATTTCTTTTAACTTTGATTAACTTTTGTTAAACCTCATGAGCCATTTCTTGCTCCACTCATCCAAAAAAGACTCAAATCTCGCTCGGCTCGAGCCCTATCCGCCTCCCCCCTTATAGAAAAACCTATTTCGGTGTCGTCGGCAAATTTACTCATCATACCCTCCACGCCGAGATCCAATTCATTTATGTAGACCAGAAACAGAAGTGGTCCCAGAACCGAGCCTTGAGGGACCCTACTTGCTCGACCACCAAAACTCGTTGCTCTCTTCCCGTCAACCAGTTACTGATCCACTCGCTCGTCCTAACCTGGATCCCGTGCGCCTCCAGTTTAACCAACAACCTCTTGTGAGGAACGGTGTCGAAAGCTTTCGCGAATTCTAAATAGACTGGATTCCCCTTAACCCTCTCCTCCGTCGTCCCGCCTCGTCCAGAACTCGAGTAGGTTGGTGAGGCGATTACGGCGCCTCCTAAAGCCGTGCTGAGAGTCCCAGATGAGCGCGTTTCCTTCGAGGAAATCCAAAATGTGGTCCCTTAGTATGCTCTCCATGATCTTCCCCGGGATACTCGTGAGGCTTACCGGCCTATAATTTCTCGGATTACTCTTTTCACCCTTCTTAAAGATCGGTACGACGTTCACTAGCCTCCAGTTCTTCAGGTACATCACCGCGCGAAAAGCTGCTTTCAAACATGATTCTTAACGGAACCGATATTTCTCTTGCAAGTTCCTTGATGACTCCCGCAGGGATCCCATCGGGGCCGGTCGCTGCGCCCACCGCCAACTTCCCTATCACACTCACAATGGTCTCTTCGGTGATGGAAATATCCTTGATGCGCGACGAAGTCACCTCCTCCAAAGTCGGTGCCGAGTCGGATTCCACAGTGAAAACGGAAGCGAAGAACTCGTTAAGTATCCCAGTCATATCTTTATTACTTGCAATCGATTCCCCCCTGCTGTTCATTAGAGGCCCGATCGATTGTTGACACCTACCACTAGCATATCGATAAAATGCCTTGGGGTTCTTCTTAGCATCGCTAGCAAGCCGTTCCTCTCNCGGTTTTCGGAGGAAAGAGACCAACCATAAGAAAGATATTGACTCGTAGATGACGAAAAGTGGCTTTTTTGCTGCTTGCGATGCTCCATTACGTCATTAAAAAATGAAAATAGCTGTCGTTTAATTAGTTTTAGTGCTTCCTCCGGTACCGTCCCCCAGTGTTGCCGTATACCGTACCGAAATTATGCCAGATTCAAGACTGTTTCAACCTTCTTATTGGCGTCTGGATCTTCTGTTTTTTAATGTATGAGGCATCTTTATGCTGCTTTCGTGAGATGAGCTGAGAATGAAGCGCTGGTTAGCTGTTATTGATCGATGTGGTGGGACATGCAGATATCTCGACATCCCTGAATTAACAGGATGGCGCGTACCATGGTTTCCATGCTGCTTGAGGGCATTCTCTCCTCATACCTATTCGAGATGGTTGGAGGAACTCTAGATAGACCTAACGTTCCACGTCCCCGCTGAAATGGTTCATGAACGTATGAATAGGCCTGCAATTGGCCTAAAGTAAAACATCCTTAATCAGATGTCTCGAAGACCACCATTCAACCTTATAGGCCTAATTGGCGCTGAAAGTCGAGAATTGAGATTCTTTGGCAAAGAAATAGGTAGATCATGGCGTGACCTGAAGGCAGTCTGTTGGTTAGACCTAACGTTAGGGAGAGGTGGGGGTTGAAGAATGGGAAAGCGATCGAAAATTGGTTTTCACTTTACTTCATTGACAGCATTACTTGTGCGCGTAAATTGCAAATGAATGCATGAGCCCATTATGTGTGGCATATTTCATCTTCGTGAATCCAAGATTGTTCATGCAGCAGATTCCAAACATTCCCCCATTTTTGTCCATTAGAAGGAAATCGCTGTAGGAAATTGATGCGACCTCATGCGGCCGCGTGTCCCCCTTCGCGGCAGATAAGACTCGCCATCAGCAGTTGCCACGTCGGAACACGGCGGAGATTAGAGTGTATACAGCAGGGGGTGAATCATGTAGATGAATGTGTATTAAGGAGTACACAAGTTAGGTTTTATGTACCGTGCAAATAATCACTCTCCGACATGCATCGTATCAGATATGACTGGTGAAAGCTCTTTTTTTCATCCCGAAGTTATCGCCCCTCGGATTGGATGCTCGCATGCAAACGATCACTTTGTTCGTGTCAGATTTTTGGAATGGCGGCGATCAGCAACGACTGGAGACTTTTTCCTGAGACCGTTTCACCGATTCGGCTCAAGACTACAAAGTCTCTTCGTCGTCCAGCTTGGCCGTCTCGAAAGCCATTTCTCCGTTCGACAAGAGACGCCGTTTCTGTATGCTGCAGAGGACCGATAAAAAAAATTCTGACCTGCAGCGTCCAATCACATTCGAGCGCACTTGATGCGTATTAGGTACAGTCATCCCGTTGGAAGTAAGACTCTGGGATGGGGCGATCTGAGTCCTCTCTCCCCATTGGTGGAGAGAGAAATCGTATGATGAGATATGACGCCAGGAGACATCCCTGCACGTCGTGCAAGCCACACTTTTCCACAGTCGATTCCCTTCGGTCCGAGGATGCCTTGTGTTTGCGGAAAGCCAGGATTCGGAAAGTGTTCGCGACGTACCATTCCTGCTTTGACACGGGGCTTCTCGACTGAGACACCTGGTCCTCCTTTACGTGAGTTCTCCTCCGACTTCGGGGGTGAGGCCGTCCCACACTCTTTTGATCCACTTCCATGTTTTCAGCAGAGGTCTTGTGGAAATCTTCGTGCTAAAAATGACCCGATCCATGATGCATCGTCTCATCTTCGCTCTCTTCCTCCTCGTGAGTTTCTTTCCCCATTTCTCTCTTATCGATGGTTGTTGCTGAGGGAACGGAGTGAAAATGGAAGTTCAGTTAGCAACACTAAGTCGTCTTATCGATATGACGTATGGCGGATTCATTTATGGTGGGGCATTTTTCCCTCGGTCTCGCTGACTCATTTCGCAAATACAAGAGGTGTAAGGAAAGTCTCCACTCGCTTACCACTGGTTATACACGACAATCGCCTAATAGGAAAAAAATTCATACCGTGAGTAAACATCGCTAATTTATTCAAAGTGGCTGCATTATCAGTCGACTTCGCGGGTCACCCAGGAGGGTCGATGAGACCGCCTGCACCCGTCGTCACCTCTCGAAGGTAGCTGATAGCATCTCAGCAGCTCTATCTCGGGGATGCACTCCGTAGAACATCCCAACAGGATTTTAGCCCTTTCCTGGGAAAAATCTAACGTTCTTCAGATGCAATCCAGTCTGGAGGCCAGGAGGCAGCGAATAAGGTTCGCTCGATCGTGCTGTGTTCGCCGTTTTCGTGGCGTGATTGGCTCTCCGTTGCTTTCAGCTGCGCCGAGTGATTCGAGTCTTGGGACCTAACGATGTTTCTTGTCCAGCTCTAGTGTCCGGGATAAGAAGTAATCATCCTTTGCAACTGTATGACAATCTCATTGATGGTAAATGGCGTTGCAAAATTGGGATTAACAGTGTTCGTTTTAATACGAATACCTAAAATCCGGAGTTTTCGAAATCATCCGAAGACAGCCTACACCTTCATCACATTAAAATCCCATTTCGGGGCTCTGAAATATCTCGTAACAGAACAAATGCGCCAAAAATAGCTAAATAGTATTGTAACTTTAATACCCTGAAAAGTAAAGAGGTAAAGTTATTGCTTCAACATTTCTTTACAAAGCACATCGCTCGAGGTGCATTCGCCGTTCCACGGTGGATCTTTACGGCCAAAAGGAATTCGGCTTTTTGCTTCTGTAGCTTGGGTCAGCGGAGGGAGGATGCACGAGCGCCAAGGAGTTCTGTGGGAAGTTCAACAGGAAGCCCGGAGGGTCGACTTGCCCGACCTCGCATCAGCAATGCGGGTCTTGCCTGGACGGGTAAGGGGCCTAAGCCATCGACGCCAGCGATCTCGTTCCATAGGCAACTTCGCTAGATTTTTTAAATACATGTGTAATTTTTTAGTTACGCTGCGGAGGATTGGACGGGAGGGAGGGAGGCTGACGTGTGTCGGCCGACCGGATCGTCCGACCGGAGCCCCGACGACCTCGCTCCGGGAGAGACATCGCAGGGAACGAAGCCTGCGATCATCGTCGCCTCTATCCTCGTCGGAGTCGGCTTCATTCTCATCATCGTCGGAGTCTGGCTCGGTCGGTTCAACAAGTCCTTCGTGGTGGAATGGCGTAGAATTCAGTTTGTCGTTCCGTTGCGGTCAATGCAGCGGATTAGCTTCATCATTACTTGATGTTGTCGTCAGAGCAAAGAAATGTAGTCATTACGATGAAACATCACCAATCATCTCGATTCTTATCGTCGTAGCCTATGCTTTTTTTTTCAAACAATTTTATTGCTATATAGCCCACTACATAAGCGATAATAATGGTGGTAACAAAAAAAGAAATGGTACAGAAACATCAAAAACAAGAAGAAAAAAACAAAAAAAAAACAGGGATAACCGATGAGTCAAAACAGAAAGAGCAGTTGGGAGAGGACGGAGGAG